TTTCTGGGGCTATAAATTTGTTAAACCCCTTTATTGTGCAGTACGAGGATGAATCAGGCAACAACGTGACAAAGTTGAAGATATGGAGAAAGAATATGCTGACCACAATAGCCCCACAATTCTGTTTGCAAATTCATCCTCTGCCATGGCAGGGCAGCCGTGCACTGAGCGGGGTGCATCAATCTGTGGGTACATACTGTGAATATGATTGCGTTTTTCAACGTGTATGAAAGAAAGAAGAATGCCCATTAAGTGTGTGTTTGAGAAAATATGTTTGCACATATCAATTTGTTTATGAGGAGCTGGTCTCCCCCATACATATGAACTGCTGAAAGTGCCCTTATAAGAAAACACTCACAGTAAGCCAGATTGACCCTGAGTGGTGACAGGGAGAAGACTCAGTCCGGAACCTGTGGCTCAGTGAACCAGATTGCTTCTATTCACCAAACATATCTCAAAGATAATATGGCTAGCATGCTGGCCTAGCAGGAAGGAATAAATAATAATAAGGTCACTCAGATGAGATTATCAAAAGCATTCCAGCATCTCGCTGCAATTTACATTGTGTCTGCCTTTTTCTTTATCTTGTCTTTGCAATGTAGTATGACAAAGGTGTATAAGCTGTGGTTCTGTTTTTGCTCAGGCTGCTCAGCAAGCTGGGAGCTCAGTGTATCCTGCAGTTGTTTGCATGCTTAATAAATATATGTTGTATCTCCAAAGTGAGTTGGGTGCTTTGTGTGAAGCAGGTTTTAGCCATAGCACAATATCAGAAATAAGTAAAACCATATTACTTGCTTTCTACAAAACTCTTTCCCCAGGAAGATTTTTTTTTTAAGTTATATTTCAGAGCTAGTTTAGAAAACAGGGACGGAAGGAAGGAAGGAAGGAAGGAAGGAAGGAGGGAAGGAGGGAAGGAGGGAAGGAGGGAGGGAAGGGGGATCTAAGCAACCATGAATGAAGAATGAAGGAAAGTGAGCTTTATTTTTAATGATAAGCCAAAAGATCAATGAACTTCAGTCTCCAAGAAGACCACCTCTACAAGGTAACATTGCCTCATCCATTGATCACAAAAGAAGAACCTCTTTAGAGAGGGCTAATTATCTATGAAAGCAAACTGCTTTTATACCATTATTGAGTATTAAAGTAACATGCTTCCTGTTCTTCAAATTTAAGAATTATTGGTCTCTGTGAGCATTCTGAATGAGGAGTAACAAAAATGAGGGCAAATGCACTTTAGCTATTAAGTTCAATTATGCATACTTTTTTCCCCCTCTAAATGCATTGGTTACTGTTCTAGAAACTACAATTGTCCTGGTGACTGTTATTAATTTCAGGTGATTGTTAGATCATAGTAGAGTATTCAGTTGCCATCCATTTCATACTTGTCCTTCCTTAATGTTACTTTTTTTTTTTAATCCACATAAATGCAAATATATATTTTCTTGTATCTTTCTCAAAGACTTCTTATAGGGTCTTTAGGAATATCTCTGAACCTGAAAAGCCACATAAAGCAGTTAAAACAGAGTCTATTTTGACAGAAATGAATGAAATTTCACATCTGCATCATCATCATCTTTTTATCTTAAGATAA